GAAGGCAGATGCTTAACCATCTGAGCCACCCAGGCGCCCGAGGGCACCACTCTTAACATTACCCCAGTGTGGAGCTGCTGTTCTTTGCTTTGTGCCAATCTGATGAATGGCGTGAGTGAGAGTACCAATGCCCATTTGTATATTAAATATTGTACAACTGTTAAATCTAAAAATGTGAAAAATTGAGGATAGAATGTCTAACTTCTCACAGACCTGTAAGTCCTCTGTCACTATGGGATACATAACACTGCACTTTGGAGATCACTACTTTCGAAAGGCTTAAAGTGGGAGGGAGGAATAGAAGCAGAGGGTTTGAGACTATTCTACAACTGTAGTGGGTTCATATATTCATAAATTGTTTTCCCAAGGAAGTGGTTGAAAATTTAAAATGTTGAAAGAAGGAAATTCTACTTGGGTAGGAGGTTGGATTTGATGACTCATCCTTTTCCAACTCTAAGACTTTGACTTTATTCTTATTTTTTTAATTGAAGTTTTTTCATCAATTGGTTCATATACATTTACTGAGTTCTTAGCATATGCCACAATGAGGGGCTGGGGGATATAGCAGTGGATAAAGACCCTTTCCTCGCAGAAGTTCAGTTATGTCCAGGAAGATAGACATTGAGACATTGAAGCCTTTTAATTTCAACTTAATAATCTTTTTTTTAAAGATTTTATTTATTTATTTGAGAGAGAGAATGAGAGAGAGAGAGAGAGAGCACATGAGAGGGGGGAGGGTCAGAGGGCGAAGCAGACTCCCTGCTGAGCAGGGAGCCCGATGCGGGACTCGATCCAGGGACTCCAGGATCATGACCTGAGCCGAAGGCAGTTGCTTAACCAACTTAGCCACCCAGGCGCCCCCTTAATAATCTTTTTATTGCTTTCCTGCTTATACTGGTGTATATAATAAAATTATCTTTAGTTCAAGCAACATTTGATTACTAATTCTATGCCAGATGGTGTAGTAGACCAGTGTTACCTTCTCTTTTTCTATCTATATGTATGAAACTCATTGATTACTGAAAGCAAAATGGCCTTCAACATAAGAAAAACTCTAAGGGAATCTGTGATAGGACACTTGCTGAGCACTTCAGGTGGCTCTGCTTTTAGGTCAAAAATTAATCGCAAGGTTATACTTCATTGGGCTAATGAGGAAAATGTTGCCTGAGTAGATAACAGGGAACCCATTTGGCCAAGTAAGCTGAGAATTTTGTCCTACTCATATACTGTAGTAGACCTTGGAATTTCACAGAATGAGTGAATTTCTAAGTACTTTATGATATTGAATATAGGGGATTTTGCCCAAGTGCATATAAGACTGTGTGTAAGTATGACCTATTTAAACATGTTGTATTTAGAGATAGTATTTTGTACCTTAGTGGCACAGTGTAAATTCTTGAACTGTTGATTCCAACCCTAACCCTAACCTTGAGATCATGACCTGAGCCGAAGGCAGACAGCTCAACCGACTGAGCCACCCAAGTGCCCCCCCCAAATTTCAGACTTTTAATTATGGGAATAATTAACCCATAAGATAAGCCATTCTGAACTTTTTAAATGATGGCCTTTTTTTAGAGTCAAACATTTTAAATTTTTCTCAAAATTGTTATGAAAATATGAAAAACATGAGTAGAGGGATGATCTTGAATGACCATAGCTTACTGCAGTAGTTTATTGGCTTAATAGGAAATATTAGATACGGAGAAGGTTGTGTTTGTCCTCCCTCTCTGTTCCTGTGGGAGTGGGGAGCAAGTGGGAGAGGAAAGGAGGAGATTGAGGTTGGGGGGGAGAATAAGTTTCAACATTGATTTTTTTTTTTTTTTTTTTTTTAAGGGGACTTTGGAAAATCCAGACAGATGCTCAGGAGGCAGTGGGAGCTATATGTTGTTAACCTTAAAAATAAAACTAGCAGTTGCTTTACCGGCAAAAATTGGTTTATTTGGGAATAGCAGAGATTTGCAATCTGGGACAAGTAAGCTACAGCAAAACTATAGGCAAGTCTGGAGAACAAAGAAGTAAGTTCTTTTACAGAGGAAAGGGAGAAGTTGGAAGGGCTGTTAGAAACAAAATGTCCATTGGAGTAAACTGGGAGTTTGAAGTAGAGTGGCTCTTCATTGGCTGAATTGTGACTGTTTCTCCCCAGCTGGGCAGTTGTGGGGGCCTGGGGAAGAAGGAAATTTTCCTACCTCTTGCTGGGATAGGAAGGTAGTAGCTAAGGTAGGCTGGACTTGCAAGGTAGGTCTCTCCTTGTTGAGTCTGCAACTGACCACAAGTGGTTGGGCATGAGAGCTTTCCCTGCTGGCTTCCTGTCTCCATTTTATTTTATTTTTCAAGATTTATTTTTTATTAGAGAGCGTGTTCGAGTACAGGGGGAGGGGCAGAGGAAGATGGAGAAACAGAATCCCAAGCAGACTCCCTGCTGAACGTGGAGCCTGATCTCATGACCCATGAGATCACGACCTGAGCTGAAATCAAGAGTCAGATGCTCAACTAACCCGCCCAGGTGCCTCTTCCTTCCATTTTAGATGCAGTTTCCTTTTATTAATTCTCACAACATATATAGTATTGGAGTTGAGGGAGAGCTGGAGATAAAGATTTGCAAGTTATCAGAGTGTCAGTAATGACTGAAACACAGGAACAGCACAAAGCTCCTGGGTAGTATGTAGATGAGGCTGAGAAACAAAAAAGGCTGAAGATGAAGCTGAGTTGAACACCACTATTTAAGTGGTAAAGGTTTGGAAGGAAGAGTGAGAGTGTGAAGAATGTTATAGAAGCCAAAAGAAGTTAGGATTTCAGACAGGGAAGCAGTCATAGGAATTAGAGATGAGAATTCAAGGAAGATGAAGACTGAACATTGTTTGTTGGGTTTGGCAGCTCTTTTTGGCAGTTAAGAGCAATGTCATAGGACCTGTGGGTTAGAAGGCAGGTAGTAGTTGGTGGTTCCAGTAAATTGTTGGCCTTGGTTACAAGGGAAATGAGGTTGATGATTAGAGGGGACATAGAGTCAAGGTAGGGGATTTTAGTTTGCTTTTGAACATAATAGCATCTGTTTATTAAGCACCTTCCATCTCTGTATATCATGGGTGCTTTTAATATATGTTTTCTTGCTCTGTGTTGGGTTTCCGTTTTACCATGAGGTTAAGTAACTTACTCAGGCTTAGTATCAGCAGTGCAGCAAGATTTCAAACCTAAGTCTTTCTGACTCCTATATTCTTTTTGTATATCACACTGGCTCAAAAGATTCAAGAAACCTGAACTTCTAAAAACACTAGCAGCACTGGGTTCACCTGGGAAGTTTGCTAACATGCAGACTTCTGGCCCCTTCCCTGTAGATTCTCATTCTAAAGACCTAAGAATCTGCCTTTTTAGGAAGCCTCCTGGGAGAGTCTGATGCATATGGTCCTTGACTGCATTTTGAAAAACACTAGTACAAAGGGATTGAGAATTTTTCTATCACAGAAAGCTTGTTCTATAAGCCAGCTGCCAAGCCCACGTACTGCATTTCTGAGACTTAATGGTGTTTGCACATCATTCTTATGAGCCTTTTGCAAGATTTTCCATTGTGAAAATATATATTTTTTATAGTTTTGTTTCTGCAGTGATTAATTGAACAGCTTTTGAAAGTTACTTAACTCTTCTGATCTCAGTTGCCTTATCTGTAAAACGGGCACAAAA